TAGTGAGAAGTGCGATATCGAAATACGAGTGATCGTTGCGTGATTGTTTGCGGGTAGAATTTGCATGGCGTTAAACGGTAGCTCGGTAGGGACTAGATACCGTGATACGTATGGTTGTACTATGGGGATATTGCATGTTGTGTGCCATGTGTCTAGCTTGCATATATATATATATATAATTAAGTGAATTTAAATTAAATATATTAATAGTCGAAAAAATGAAATTTAGTAGTGAATTTAAATTTACTGAAAAAAACGAATAGATGTAATTTTATAAATAATCAAATCAGAAAATAACCCGGAGAAAAAGAGAAATTCATGTATTTCAATATGACCGGTTACAACTCACAAATTGAATTACCTTTTTTAGGCTATAAAAGGGTTGACCATTGATACAAAAGAATCACAATATATTGGAATATTATCTACACGTTGACGAAAAATGAGATGGAATTCGAATAACAAAACCCGTATCTCTTTTTTTCCCGGGCACTTGATTCTCCTCTCCCGATATACATATATAAATCATTATATACACATTTATCTTCTCACTTGTGCTTATTTAGTTTAAAAAACAATTATCATTTTATATCCGAATATGTTATATAAAAGACCAACTAATTTTTGTTTTTGGAAATATGAAGACGCCGTGTAAATAATCTAGTGGTCAATAATATATAGGGATCGCATGGCTTTATTCCATTGAATGTGAAAAAGGTAGTGGTGGAGGATGAGATAATGCGTGGGCTTGGCCTTGCACTTATTTGGGCCACGTTACACTTTATCACGTAGGCCCAATTTAAGCCTATTGGGCCTTACATATCACTTTTTTCCGAAGAAAAATATAATCCATGTATATATATACACATATATATTAAAAATGGGGGAGATTGCATTATTGGTGTTTGATAGAGAATGCACATCGTATAAATATTTTTTGTATACATAATGTATGTATGAATTCTTGTAATATATTGCATCAAACATGATCACGTTTTCTTCGCCATAACGGTATAATCAAATTTTGAATTATTTCTGCAATTATTCACTAATTTGTAATTTAAAATCACCCAGAAAAAAAGGAAAGAAAAATGGGAGCAGTTCATTCGTGATGGTATTGGTAAAGCACGAGCTTGTCATGTTCCGTCTCCGTCTCTGCTCTAAACGACGAATAGCCTAAAACCCAGCGATCACTGCTCTCCCCTCTTCTTTTCTCCATAGCTTCTCTCCCATGGCGGCAGCCACCGCTGTTTCCTTCTCTGGCGGCGTCTCTCTTGTCTCTTCTTTCCCTCCTGGGAGAGTTCACAGCTCCGATCTCGTCCATCTGAAGTCAACTCCGCGACTGACCTCTGCATCCACCGATCGCCTCGGGGGGGTGAGGTGCGGAGCGGCGTATCCCGCAAGTTTTCGGTTGAACGACCGAAGATTCCGGCGGGGGGAGGAGGAGGGAGACGGCGGAGCGGCGGCGACTGCGGAGAACCCGTACGCGGATGCGGATCACGCTCGGCCGGAGCAGCGGAAGAGCTTGGCGGATTTTCTGCGGGAAGCGAGAGGTTTTGTCGGCGGCGACGGAGGTCCGCCGCGGTGGTTCTCTCCGTTGGAGTGTGGCGCACGCGCTCCGGGCTCTCCTCTCCTCCTCTTCTTGCCTGGTTCGTGTTACAATTTGCTTTTTTTCTCTTTATGCCCACTCTACAATAATTCATATTCTCGATCTGAATGGAACTAATCAATGTCTGGAAATGAAAATCCTTTTGATTGGGAACTTGAAAAGTCAAAGGAAGAATCTTGTTGTTGCATTAACATATACTGAATTGACCTCTGAAAAGCTCGCAAAGTTAACAAAAACTCAGAAAACCAAAACTGCAGGGATCGATGGTACTGGACTAGGGCTCATTCGCCATCATAGAAGGCTTGGAGAGTACGTTAATTTCTGAAGTTCATCTAAGCTTTCTTCATTTCCTTATAAGTTATAACCTTCAAGAGCTTCTGCTTTCTGTGGCATTTCTGCTTCTGATTCTGTCCCATAGCAGAGCCATGAAAATGGAAAAACAAAGTTGCTTAATTGAACCATTATTCCCTTGGGTCGGCATGATGCACCAGTTTCTTTACACCCAAGAAACTGGTTCTATGTTCAGTTAGTTCTGCACCGTTTCTTCTGAAATCTTTTCTTTTCCGTTTTTTTTCTCTGGTGCTGGTTCTTGGGTTGGGAATTTGATTAAAGCATGTAGCATCTTATATTTAGGACGTTGATTATAGTATGTCTCATAATTGGAGCATCTTTTCAGTGTGAAAAACCTGGACTTGAGTGTCTGAATGGTGTTTTGTTTCTGATCTCGTTGTCTTTTGACTGTAGGATTTTTGACATATGGTGTCTTCATATCCCTGTCACGGATCGTACTCCTGTCCAAGGTGCCTCTTTACCAGCATTGACTTGTCCCGTTGCTGTTTTATAAGGATTCTTGATAGCTAATGTGGATGAGATCCTTGTCACTTTCTGTCGTTCCCAGACCTGGTGAAGCTTATCGAGAGGACAGTCAGGACAGAAAATCACCGTTTCCCACATAGGCCAATATATTTGGTCGGAGAATCTGTTGGAGCTTGTCTTGCACTAGACATTGCATCGAGAAACCCTGATATAGATCTGATCCTCATACTAGCTAATCCAGGTTAAAAGGCTATATTCACTTCCCAAGACATGACCTGTCATATGTTTTCTGTGTTTTGTTTTTCGAACAACAACTCTGTCTGAAATGCATCTTCCCTGATGATGAGCATTTGTTTGCACAGCCATGTGTTTCAACTTCTTCATGCTGCAACCTCTATCGGGTCTACTGGAATTTTTGCCAGATGGAGCTCCAACATCGGTGGAAGAAATATTTGGGGTTAAACATGGTAGACTTCTGTGCCCTCGCATTCTGTGTTGTCCTTGAGCACCTAGTGGCCGGGTACCAAAAATATCAGATGCAATGGTCTAGATCTCATACAGTATCTCTGGCTTCTTCACAAATTCTTGGCCGTTGTGTTTTAGTGCTAGCTTAAGTGCAGGATCCTTAAAAATGTTTCCAAGTTAATCATTCTTCTCGATCGGTCTCTGCTTCTTCTTAACTATAATAGGCTTGGGAAGAACTTGAATCTAACCAATCATGGTCATATTTTCCTGGTCGATTGAGACAATTGCTTTAAGGTCGAGTTTCTACTGTAACCAGTTTACATGATTATTTTCCTACAAAGAGACAGGGTTGTCTAAACAAAGCAGTACTTTACTACGTGTCTCATTACTCTACACCCAGGTGATCCATTTACAGCGGTGATAGACACTTTGGCAAATGAATCTGCTATTCAGAGAATAGGTGGGGGACTGTTTGGAGACTTCTTTGCAGCTTCAGCTCATATGCCTGTAAGAATTTCTTCAAAAGAACTCACCTGGTATCTGCGTTATGATCTGTATATGCAGTCCATACTCTAAACTAATAATATGTCTTCTTTGTTGCTCATTTTCTTAATATTAGTTTCTCTCATATTTTTTAAACAAACTTTTATGTTCTGTGACAAACACCCGTAAAAGAAATCGATTTACAGACTGTGGCAAGGATCTTCTCCAAGGATACACTTCGCTGGAGGCTGGAAATGCTTAAATCTGCTTCAGCATCTGCTAATTCTCACATATACGCAGTCAGAGCTCAAACACTGATACTTCTGAGGTCATAAGCTTCTTTTTTCCTTTGATGACTATAAGCCTAGGAGTTCTGTAGCCATTTTGTTTGTAAAGAATTGTCTTAACTGGCAGCTTAGGTGTAATGTGAAAAATTGCGGATGGCTATTGCAGTGGACAAGATCAATGGCTGGTGAATGAGGGAGGCATTGAAAGACTCCGTCAGGCGTTGCCGAGCTGTGACGTCTGGAATTTTAAGGAAAATGGTCATTTTCTTTTCTTGGTAAGTGTTCTTTCTCTCATGCACTACAGAAAGGATGACAGTTAGCTTCAAATATTGGTGCAGTGGGCATCGGTTTCAATGGATGTTACCAATTTCATGTCGGCTACATAGTCTATGTCAGGCAAATCTTTGTTAACTGGATAAATGGTGTATTTCATGTTGGTCTATAAATGACCTCCAGTTCAGCTTGGTTAAAAATAAAGGTTATTCTGCAAAAGTTTTGGATTTGGGCACATCTAGATCGTGGTATATTCATAACCGAGACTTAAGGTGATCTTTTATGTCTCATGATAGGAAGATAGCGTAGATCTGGTGACTATCATCAAGGCCGCCTCTTTCTATCGTCGTGGGAAGTCTCATGATTTTGTCTCAGATTACATTCCACCAACTCCTTTTGAGTTCAAACAACAGATCGATATATATAGGTAAAGACCTCATCAAAGACCCTCTTGTCATAGATCTTCTTACGTATCTAATGTCTCATAGGTTAGATATAAGATAAGCTAAACTAGTGATTGAACTGCCCACTGCATGTGTGCTTGTGTCTGCGTTAGGACTCAATGCAGACACAATAATTCATGTATAAAGCCAATCTGCAAATATCAGAGTCTGGCTCGACAAACAGATCTCTTGAAAAAAGCTGTTTGCTGTTGTTGGAACTGTTTGCATCTGGATGAATAAAAGACTTGTTGTGGTTGAAGAGTTAACTGTTGGAAGCCTCTCCAGGCATCCAAATGCACAGGTCCAGCAACCCGCAACAGCGAATGTTCTGCCTCTCGATTTAGATTAGACTTTGCTCAAATGACTGAACTAATTATAAGTATATTGCAGGAGCAAAAATGTGCTTCTTACTTGGAACATTTGCTAAAATTAGAATCCATTTCCATTTCTCCCTGCTCAAGCTGAATCTGAAGTATTACTTTCTCTGGGTCAGATGGCTAATCACTGCTACTTCCCCTGTAATGCTCTCCACTCTGGAAAATGGTACATTAGTAAGGGGTCTTGCAGGAATACCTTCTGAGGGCCCTGTTCTGTATGTTGGATACCACAACTTACTTGGAATGGAGATTTATCCACTAGTAATTCAGTTTCTGAAGGAGAGGAACATTCTATTGCGTGGGATGGCACATCCATTGATGTTTCCAGGAAAACGAGCCTCGAAGCTTCCTGAATTGCAGTCCTTCGATGGACATAGGTTAATGGGCTCGGTTCCTGTCTCAGAGTTCAATTTCTACAAACTACTTCGTTCAAAGTCTCATGTGCTTTTGTATCCTGGAGGTGTACGAGAAGCTTTGCATAGAAAGGTGATTCATTTCTCATGAAAACTATGTGATTTTAATATTTTCTGCTGTCTTGTTTGGATGGGGGCTTACATGTTCCAGTTTTGCAGGGTGAGGAATATAAGTTGTTCTGGCCAGAAGATCAGGAGTTTGTGAGGATTGCGTCTAGATTTGGAGCCAAAATCGTTCCTTTTGGGGTTGTTGGAGAAGATGACATCTTTGAAGTAAGCCTTCTCTACTCCGATCTGCTTGTTTTCTTATTCGTTCCAAGTTCTCTTTCATGCTTCGGTTATAAGTGATCTGATGCTATATTATGACGCGTTATGCACGTGAATATCTCTGCATTCCATATGTTTTCTCCATTCACTTGCCTTCAGCGCCGTTCTATTTCTTTAGATTCTTGCATTCTACATTCTACTCTATTCATCAAGCATATCAACTGACAAGAACCCTATATCAAACACCAATGGTTCTACCTTGTAAAATTGTAAATGCTAATAAACTTGGCTTTCTACTGTCTGCTATTTTCAACTGCGACGGCTCATGTTTCTGATTTTTCTCTTCATTGAGCATATCAGCAAGAAATGCATTCACTAGCATGTTAACCGTTTAGTTACTTCGCATTCTAAATCGTTACAAGCCCTGGAATCTGCATTTTATTCCTTTTCAACCACAACCATACACCATTGGAGGTTCTACATCATCATGTGGTATATTCTGCATGCTGTATAACTGGTTGTGTTTCAGTTTGTTCTATTTTGCATTGACTCAAGCGAATTTGCTTGAACATGCATGGGGATGATATTTTTAGCTTGTCCTGGATTACGACGATCAAATGAAGATCCCTTTCTTGAAAGATCTTATAAAGGAGCTATCAAACGATACTACCAGCTTGAGGTGATTTACTGTGGACCTCTTTGTTGCTTGTACTCTTAAATTTAGGCTATCTATCTCACAAGAATGACAATAACATTGTTGGGAAATGGGTTTTAAGGAGCGGCGAAGAGGGTGAACTGGGAAAGCAAGACTTGTATTTACCCGGGATATTACCTAAGATTCCTGGGAGATTCTACTATTACTTTGGACAACCAATAGAAACAGCAGGTATATTATGTATATATGTTATATTCTCACTCCTCATGGTGATGATGGCTTTGATCTGATTCCATATGTGTATGTATAAAGGCAAAGAGAAAGAGCTGAGAGAAAGAGAGAAGGCTCAAGAGCTTTACCTGAGAGTGAAGGCAGAAGTGGAGAACTGCATCGCCTACTTGAAGGCTAAACGAGAGAGTGACCCTTACAGGAATTTCCTCCCCAGGCTCTTGTATCACTCCTCTCACGGTTTCTCTTCTCAAGTCCCAACCTTTGATCTCTGATTTTTTTCTCTCTTCAAATTGTACGTTCGATGGTTATTTACTTGCATTGTGGTCATATTTTTACAACGCTATTATAAGGTAATTCTTTTTTTTTTTTTTTTTTTTTGCTTATAAATGAGTCATAGAGAAAACAAGACTTAGAGGAGCATGTGTGCATCATTACGAGGAACTACCTCTTTTATTTTTAAATGCGGTGGGCCGTTGTTTTGGGCTGAATTGATAAAATTCTTAAAGCCCAATGGGCCTCACAGATGGACCAACGTGTCTAATAAATGAGCTTATAATGGGCTTCGATTCAGTAGACATAATGGGCTGATTGCACCACGAGAGCGTGGGAGCTGTAACACGCGTGTAAAACCACGCGCATCGTTGTCGCGTGAACGAAACGGGCTGGAAATCGCTGGACTATATATCCCAGAGATTTTGGCCTATTTTGCTTAAAATTCGAAAATAGGCGCGTGGAAAACCTCAGGGCGATGCCCCGCTATAGCTACCTTTTTTCGGTAGCTTTCAATTCGATTATTTTTTTGTACGTTCGTGATGTTTTCATCGAAAAATTAGCGAGGATGGTCATAAATAATTTTATATGTGCACAAAAAAAATTTAATTAAACGGATATTTTGGTGTTAAAAGGTAATAAAATTAGGTTTCAAGAATAAGATTCTATATTTTATTTACAAAATATCAAGTGATGAGAGAAAAAAGTAAATCCACATGCTAACAGCATAACGAATGAAATTTCATGTTCATAACCAAATCAAAATCTGTACAAGAGTGGTGGGTCAGAGCCATTTCTCTGTACCTTGAAGAAGATGGCTTCAGATGAAGATATTTATGTACAAAGGCTCATTCATACATTTATTCTTGGAAATGAAGAAGAGAAAAAAAGAGAGAAGGCACGGCTTTCAGTTGGTGATGCTGAAGTATCTTGGGTTTTCTGGGTAATGGTACTCCACTTTCAACTGCAATTACAACCACCAAATTTGGTATTAGCTTCACATATGCAGAGACAAAAGCCAAGAGACAAAGCTTTACGTGTTTATAACTACGCAAAACGCAATCGCCATTACTGGCACAGCGTTTGCGTTTTCATACCTTTCCTTCATCAGAATCTGTATGGCGTTGAGGAAACACAACTCTCAAGTCATTGTACAAGTAGAATTTCCTCTCCTCCTCTGCGTCCAAGCTTTTCTTTTGCGGCAGAGTTGCAGCTTCATCAGATTTGCATTTCCGGGCCGACTTTGAAGCTTTCTTTGGTAGTGGGCAAATAAATCTCAGATGGAGAGCATAGCGTAGAGCACCGGAGCCGCTATTGCATTCCTTGGCCTTTGAACAGCTCTGCCCTGTTCCATGGCCCCGGCTATTCCCACAGCCATTCTCATGTTCTGTCAAATGGATATCATCCAATTTCCCATGGCCATCCACTGAACCCGGTCTCGGTGCTTCACTAACTTTAGCACCGAGAGTGTGGTCTGCACTTCTGTCTCTTGTATTCTGCTTTGCCCTGCTACTTGGGACAGATGAGTCCAGAGTAACCTTTTGGCGCAGGAACGTCTGTTTATAACCAAACATGAGTGAAACAAGACAAGGATATTCAGACATACAAGTTCATGGATACATACTCGTGCACTCTTATAAGAAGACTGAAGAGTGTAGGCGTACATGAAGCATCTAATTTCTGGATTTTGTTTTAAACTTGTATACAAGCTAATAATTCTGCCCTATTGACTTTTGGCTGTTGCATTTATGAATATAGGCACCAATCATATATCTATAAAAAGATACAAATTTTCACCTACCTGCAATTTCATGGTTCATGTTTCGAAATATGTTTCTTCTTTCTTAATATGCAAATGAGAACCCATAAAACCAGTAAAAAAGCTGGGTTCTCCCAATGAGTTTTGCTGCTGAATAAGAATGAAGATAAGACCCGACTCTGGATGCATCATGATAATAATTGAAAAAGAAACCTTGACCGAGGTTAGAGAGGTATCTTATGTTTTACCTTTGTACCAGATGGCATGTCGGTCAAGTCATAGTTACAGAGGAAAGTGTGGAGTGGTGTCTTCTCTGGGTTACTCAGAACCTGCAGAAAGTGCAGATCGTATCATGAGTGCACAAAACAACTTCTCATTGCTTTAAGTGTTATCATATTACGCACAATTCACCCGACTAATAGCAAGTGGATCGAAGTTGAGATCACATCACGCCAACAGCTAAATTTTTTAAAACAATTGACCATGTGCAGTCATCCTTTGTGTAGTCAACAATCTTGTAAGTCTATGAATCCACATTCAAAATGGAACAAGAAACAAAGATATAGGAGATACCAATTGTATACGACCCTTCATGGGGATCTGCAACCGGCTCTTGATACTCTGAGAATCAGAGTTGTTCTGAATTTGTCTCCCTTTCTGACACCAGAATTTATTTGAAGGAGATCCTCCAGCAAGATCAATGGAGGCAAAGTACAGTAAGAAGCAGTCACCATCAACACTAGCTACTGAGAAAGGCAGCTTCTGTGATTTTGGAGAGAAGTTTCCCCCAGCAATACTTAGTACGGCCAGAAAACCATCGATTCTCTGTACAGACAAGCAGAAAAATTGATAAGAGTCTAAAGGAACTAAGGTAAAGCTGTGAGTTTACACTGCATTTATGGTCTGTGGCTCTTAGTTGTGAGTTTATGGCTCTTGCGTATAGAAACTGGTTGTTTGCTAAATGGATACTATGCTTTGACAAAGTGAATATCAAAGCATCAGAAATAAAACAAAGCAGAGGAAAGAACCTGATTAGCCTGCCCATAGGACAATCTTCCCGATAAAAGTGACTCTTCGAAAGAACCAACCAAGGACCTCTGAATGGGGCGTCCACTCAAGCTTCTACCGAACCTTCTATGTGGAGATGTAGGAGCTGATTCAATAGTTCTCTCCATTGAAAAGGTTCTCTGAAATGCATTACCATCTTCAAACAAGCTTCGATCAATCCTGAGTTCTGCTTCTTCGACATTCCTTGCCCATTGATCATCTTTCAGTATCTTCCCATTTTGGCACCCTCGTGGAACTTTTGTTATCTCTGAAAATCTCGGGCCAAGTGGTGACAGAGAAAGCGGAGGAGAGACAGATACTTCTTTATCACACTGCAATGGCGTGTTGGGTCTGCCAGATATTTCAAAAGCAGGTGAATACAAGCAAATCGCACCTTTTGTGGATGGAGGCTCCTGGGCATCTAGCAATGGACCGTCAGTGAAAATCATAGAAGAGAGTCTACTGCTGTTTGCTGAAGTGCCCCTCCATTCCCAGCAGCTCGAAGTGGCCAGTGTGGCAGGTGCAGTGGAGAGACGTAATCTGCCAGTGATATTTGCTTTCTTGTGATCTTGTGTGGCAGTAACACAGAAACCATTAGTCAGACTACCAGAAGTTGTTTGTTGATCGCTACAACTGATATCAAGCAGTTCACCTCTGAATCTCTCGGGGAAGAGCATATTCATAGGAGACAGCACTCGTTTCTTGACTACTGGTCCACCTGCCTCTACTTCATTAAATTCGTTGTTAGACAGGTCAGTGTGACCTGCAGCAGCGCCCACACATTCATTACTTGCTGAAGTAGTTCTATTTGCTTCAAAACCGACTATCCTTCTGATCGCAGTCCGACTCCAATTAGTCTTATCAACTGAGTAGATGATTGATCCATCAGCAGCTGATGAGATAACATCCCGAGCTCCATTACATCTTTTTGAATCTTCTTCTAAGAATTCTGGAGGGTTCAACATTGTTTTCCAATCAAATTCACCAATAGAGGAGCAGAGGCTACCATCAGTTCCCCGATTAAGGCCACTGGAGTCATGGGCAGTGGCAAAAGCGGGCAGACTTTGTGAAAGGCTGTGACTTGAAGCAGACAAAGCTTCGTCCGAAGCAGCATGTGGTAGACCCATCACACCCACAGTCGTTTTTTTCTTACGCCTTCTCCGGTGATTCTCTATATCTACTCCGAAATTTCCCTACTCAGGTCTGTATAAGGTTAAGACACCAGATCCCTGCAAATCCCTCCAACACCATTGCATACTTCTATATCTACCAGAATATGATATTCTAGAACTATGTATCAGTTACAGGCATCCACAAATCATGCATAGCTCCCATGCTAAACAGCATATTGGTTATTCGACAACAGTTGGAGCTTTTCTGAGCCAAATGCAACTTGTTGATGAAGAATACGAGGTTCTTTGCCATCCCACTAGTCTGAAAAGAAAATAATGAAGAATAAGAATCCATTTTAGTCCCAATAAGTTCAGGACGCATTCCAACAAAATAAGAGAGATGGGCAAACAAAACATGATCTGGAAACACCAATGCCATTACTGACAAACCGAAACTATTCTCAGATTTGTAAGCCTAGCATCACTAGAACACGCACGGTATGCAAGTTCCAACATAATCAAAATGATCAACATATACTACACCCCTAAAGAAAAAGGATAAATAATGATCGGATTGAATACTAATGCTGGCCACAAAGTTGAAAGCCAATCATGATTCGAGAAGATGAATCAGGGATTATCGGCGGAAAGAACTTATGATCATATCGAACTGATCCCACACGAACAGATACAATTCAGAGTGATCGCAAAGAGGTTCGTGAACGGCGCGCATTCACATCAATTTCCAGCAAAAAACAGATGAATCATTCTCAGCATCATCATCGGCATCATCAACACCACCACCATCGTCATCATCGTCGTCGTGGTCACAGTTGTAAACTTAAAAGAAAACACAAATCTATTCAACCACAAAGCTCAGTCAATTCAAAATGCGAAGACCCGACACGGAGTAATCAAAGCTTAATAACCGGAATCGGTAATTCAATCAAATTCGAGAAAGCCCCATCGCGATAACGCACCGATGAAGCTATAGATTACACAATCCCAACATGTGACAAAGAAATCCCAAGAAGGATGCTAGAGATAAACACGCGGATCGGTATCAGGAGAAGAATCGATCAAAACCTAGAAACGGTTGGAATCGAGTGAATTGAAGGAGGCGGTGAAGAAGAAGAAACAAAAGAAAATGGTAAAGAAGAATACGGGAGTGGGAGAAACTCTTCCCGTCACCCCTTGCCTGTTTATACGCAAATCACGATAGCGTATAGCCATCAACATACCCTTCCTTTTCCCTTTTTTTTTTTAAAAAAATGCTTCCTTTTTCGCCTAAATAATTTTGGAACATAATAATAAAACAACATTATTAGGTGGTTTTACAAAAATGTATTTGTGTCAGTACCACATTATTATATTGAACGAGAAAAATATTTGACATGTGAGTAACGATATTTATCACATTCAAATTTTATTTTTTTTTGGCACTTTTTCAAATTTTAATTTTCCAAAATGCATAAAATTTCTGTAACGATTATCCATTTATTTTTAACGAACAAATAATAACCGATACAAGTAACCTTATATATATACATACATATATATATATATATATATATATAATGTTAAATATTTCAAATGAAAAATGGAGAGAGAGATTAACAGGGCTTATCCTTAAGTGGAGCCCAAATCCGTTAGCAGGGCCCACCTTTCAAGATGGATGAAGGAAAGCCCATCACGTGGCTTTCAGTGGGCTCACGTGAGAAAGGACAACTGAATTAATTATACTCCATCCCCCCCCCCCTCTTACTTGTCCATGTCCTCTTTTAACACCTAAAAGAAACCCAACATCAAAATTGAAAGAATCACACATAAGATCCATTTTAAGGCAAGAAGACATTTTTATTTCTGTGGCTCTCAATCTCTTTTCAGAACCTGGAAATATGACTCTAGCTCCAGTAGAGAATGATGATGGCCATGGAATTTCACAAAGAATCAGGCCAAGGACATGAGTAGGATGATCTATGATACATGGGTTCTTTCCATCACATGATCTAGCGCCATACATACACACATGGAATGGTGGGTATGATGTTAAAACGGTTTCTGCGGTCATATTGGTCAAGAATCATCTAATGCTTTATCTTCCTCTAAGTTCAGACAGCTGGTGAATCAGGTGGCCGGAGGAGGACCAATGCCAGAGCTGTTCCCTGCTTGCCCGATCTGATCACCATCATCCTTCTCTTCCCCACCACTCTCTTCAGATTCATCTGTTTCGCTTTCTATCCATAAATGGATGTCGTGATAGGTCTTAGTCTCCTTCAGAAAGACACAGTACACTGCCCACTCTTGCTGATCCGTTCCATGCATCTGAAAACAAACACCTTGAGATCGGAATCACTGAAACGTAATCCAGTTCTATATTTGGCTACTTGTGTCTACATTGAAGTTGAAAAAGAAAACGGCAGGGTTGTATAGGTGACGTTCGAACAAAGGAAAACACATTTAAACCAATCGGAATCCGAATCTGATGTCTGAGAATGAAAAGCATTGAACTGTGGCCGGTAAGATTTACCTCAGCGAGGCGATACTCATACATGAACCAAAGGGATCTAGGCTGATTGTGGAAAAAAGGCATCTTCCCATCGGAATGGACAAGTGCCAGCGTTTTTCTAATCCCAACCACTTCTTTGCTCTCAGGATCCAGAATTCTCTTCTCCTGTCCGATCGGTGTCCAATAACGTGACACCGTAATTACGTTCCTAAGTCTTTTGCCGAAGAAGTACCTCTTTGTATCTCTACCTGAAGAAAGAGTAAAGGAAAATTACCGATCAATTATCAATCTTTTACTGTCAAAAGTTTTCTCATTTACCAGAAGGATTGAGACCCTTTTCGTAATTCAGCACAGTTTGCAAAGCCCTTGAGCAGTTCACCATATTAACACGAGGGTTGAGAGTATTCGGCTTCAATGGAGAAATCTTTTCCACTAAGAAACATGACAAATCTAAGTATAAAACTGCATCTTCTGAAATCTTTAAACCCAGGCGGTGAAATTTTGCACATTTGCTTCGTCGAATTCGGGTCGTGGATTCCCATTTGTAACAAAGTATGGATTATTTTCCCCTAATTGATTCAGACTGTCTCAACGTAAAGATTGAGCGACTTGCTTCGACAAATCTGTCCCTTAAAACCCTAATCGTGACGACGTCTGATTCTGTTGCCCTAAAGGATTCAGACTGTTTCACATGATGAAACTTCACCCTCTGTTTCCATCGATTTTTCCCACTCAGAAACGCCAAAACCAAGAAACAAAAAACTGAAATCTCTGAACGGAGATTAAGGAAAGAACAACATACCAGGTAAGGTACAAGGATCTTTGCAGGGGAGATCATCGAAATCGCCAATGATCATGTTGCAAAATGTGGGATCAAGAACCTTCCGCTTCAGGAGACAGTCCACGATCTGGATGTCGGTCAGACTATACAGAAACCCAGGCGAAAGAGGAAAATCCATTGAAGCAAGAAAAGGTTAGAAGCCAAAGTAGAGAAATTGCCAACTATGAAGGTGGAGAAAAATCTTATATGATGGGAGGAGCTTCGGTTTTGAGACGTTTGAATTCAGTGGCGCTCAAATGGGTTTTTATCATTCATTATTTTATTATCTTGTATAACTACTTCATCTCTTATAAATACATTATTAATATTAACCTTATAATAATAAATCAGATTAGGTTTAAAAGATTCAAGAGAGACAACGCCAAGTAAATTATTTTTTTCAATGTAAAAAGTAGATAATTCAAAAACGATAACACTCGTAGGGGATTTTTACTTGTTCTTAATTCAGTGTAAAATTCAAAAGCTCGCAAATGTATTTACAAAATAACGATGAGAAATATAAGACAGAAGGTTTGGTCATTGTTGTTGTATCAACTCGGAGAGCAGCTTGAGAAGAAAAGCCATCTCCTTTTGTGAAAAATTGGGTTTTGCCATGGCAAAGTCATCCTCTTCTCCATCTGATGACGGTGATGGTGATGGTGGTGATGGTGATGGGGGCCGTATCATCAGGGTCACGGCCTCTGTAATCTCGGCAACAAAATCTACAATCACTCCTTCAATCCCCATCACATACTGCATGTACACTGCCTCTCCCACATTGCTGCAAACACCAAAAGACCCTTAGAAATCTTCACACGTAGATCTCAAACGTGGATTTCCTAAAAGAGGTTAGAGAGCGAAGAGAATCATACTTGAGTTTTCCGTATGTGAGGAGTGAGAGCTTAGATTCTCTGATCCTGGAGACAGCTGCGGGGTCTTTGAAAACACCCTTAACCTCTGAAACAATGCCTTGCAGCCCTCCGTCTAAGCAAACCTTGATAGCCTCGTCCAGCGAGTTTCTTCTCTCGTCATAGTAGATTGTGGCCCCAGCATCGGTCAGAAAGTAAACCTGGTTCAGTTTGTAGCAACAAGTGTTACACCCAAACAAAAAACCGGTTTCTTTGGTGATTACTGAATGTGACAAAGGGATTTTGTCATTCAAGGTAAACAAGAAATAAGGTTTGAGCTTTGAGGAAACAGCACATACAGGATAGGTGCTCTGCAATTTTCTAGCGAGCTGCGCTGCATCTGGTTGGAAGCTTGAGAAGATTACCGGTCGATCTTTACCATAATCAAACACCACCTGCTTGCCGTTTTGAATCAAAGGAAAAAAAAAAAGTCGAGAACTTCTAGAGTTAATGAATCAATTCATGATTTAGAAAGATGTTAACAGCCTGATACTAAATTTTAGCAAGTTGGAGAGCTTTTTAATGAAATATCAACAAAAGCATTACATCTAGACATTAACTTATTCCACAAGAAACATTTGAAACTGGAGAAACATTGAATTTCAATTCAAAACCTTTTGACAAGTGACTTCCCAAGTAAACCTACCCAAGCAAGTGCTGTTACTCTCACAAAAGCTACACAAACAAGGACACTACAGGGGTCAGCTTTGGCGACATACCTGCAGAACTGCTTGAAGAATGTCGACGAGAAAATCTTGTTCATAGACAGTATGATCATCAAACTTCAGCTCGATGTTGAACCCCAGAGTCTGATCAACTCGTTCGAAAGCTTCCTGTAGTGTGCATAGGGAGTCATCCAATTCAACATCCCACTTCAAAATCTTACCCTCTTTCGATTTCCTCATGAGGGTTTTCCCAGTTTTCCCTAGTTCCTTCTGAGGTCCATAGCACAAGAACTCAGACAGGCACAGATCTGTCACCCGCTTCTCGTGAACAACACCCTGACCAATTCACAAACTCCGGTGCATCAGAGCGAGTTGAGACAAGATGAGGATTAAGAGTGATACAGCAAATCTCACATTGATAACCACAAATGTTGATATGAACAAAGAAAAAAGAGTTAGTAATCACAAAACTGGAATTAGCTAAAGACTAAGAACAATGATGGCAAAACTCACATTTTCTTCGGAGTAGATGAAGTCATCATGGAAAATGACAGGGCAACGATCCTTTGTCACCTACAAAAAGAAACCACAAAGGTCGTCTCTTTCACTTCCCAGCATTGCCTCTATGGCCGCGCCTCTTTCGCTCCAATCTCCATCTTAATTCATTTCAATTTTAAGAAACTTTGAAAAGAGAAAAAGCAAGATCCAAAAACAGCCGCAACGCATTCCAGAAAAAGAAAAGAAAAAAAGATCGAAATCAGCATCTTCTACAGGCAAAAATATCAAATAGCCCCAAATAAAGAAACCATCCTAGACTAGCAAATTGTAGCTTTCTATTTTTGTTAGAATTTAGGGTTTTGTATGATTGATTTAGACAGCGGAAGGGCTTCGAACGATCAAAATAATCGCCGCCACGAAGTTACCTGAGCTATAATTGGAAGTGAGAGAGAACGAGAGAGAAAGAGAACCAACCTGAACATCGAATTCGATGAAGTCAATGGGGTGTTTGGCGGCGGCGTCGAACGAGAGGATGGAGTTCTCCTTGAACCCTCTCATTCTCCGATCTGACGACTGCAACACATTCATGCCGTTTCCTCGGTGTCCGATCACGGCGAAACTCGACATCCTAAACGACCTCGAGCTACACAAATCAAGACCTGTCCCACCACAAAAACACACAACCAAAACAAATAAAAAAACAAGAAAAAATCAGAGAGGAACATCGACGGTGAACCAAAACCCCAACGAACGGAGACAGCTTCGAGCACTTACCATCGGAGAATCCATTGGAGCAGAGTGAGACGGGCTCGGCGAGACTGGGAACATCGGCGACAAGAACTGCTTGGAGAGCCATTCGCGGAGGGAGAGAGAGAACGACGACGGCGTGGAAGAAGAAGAGAGAAGAAAGGGGTAAAATAGGGATTATGGAAATTTGTGCGAGAGTTTCAAGGCCCAATGAAGCTGTTATAAAGACGGCTAATGAGCAAGGAAGCTGGATCTCCGCGTTGGAATATTCCCCCACGTCAGCAATGTGCCTTCCCCATAATCTCGTCACTCTTCCCGCCTTTTTCTGGGATCCGGTACAGACAAGAGTACGGTCATCTCACCCTTCGCTGCTACGTGGCATGATGCCATTGGCTTAATTAAGCAATAATAATCACATCGTTACACGGCTCCATGACATTAGCTTAAACCGGAATAATTCTTATTTCTGGTATTTGAGCTGTGTTGATCAGATCCACGTCCGAGTGAAGTTTCCACGACGCGGATCCACGTCAGAAACGTATTAACAATTGCAAAATTACAACCACGTTTTAAGTACCTAATTAAGTTTGGTTCCGTTCGGTTTATTCCGGTTCGGTATTTGGGTTGGTGGGTTTTCTCATAAATTACCTCGTACCAGAGGGAGAGAGACAAAAAAGGGATTCGCGGTAAAGGTCTAAGACGAAAGTTTGACCATCATCGTAGTAGAGACAATGAAGTCGATGATCAGTGGCCATAGATGACGTTCAGTTGTCCCCACCAAAGAAGACAGCTTTTATCGTCACTAGTTGAGTACCCGCGCGATGCACGAGATGATTCTTTATTATATTTTGATTATATTTTTATAAATTTTGTTGATATATAATTTAAAAAATTGAATTAATTAATTTTTTTTAATATGGGATTAAAAAATAATATAAAATTATTGTAAAAACATCAATATTCATTATATAATAAGGAAACGTTGTCTTTGTTTACGTGTTTTATATATTTGTTGTCAATAAACAATTTGTCATATAAATATTTTTCGACGGACATTTTACATATGTCTTAGAATATCAAAGATTGAAATATCAAATTCGTTGGATATAGAGAGTTTTAGAATTTTTTCCAAAGGACTATTTTATGTATATCTAATATTAGTTTAATCTATATTATGTGACTATTTATGTCGATATAATTCACTATTTTCGGAAATACAAAACCAATTCAATAATAATCTACCCAACAGCTGGGTTTTCTTGCAAACAAACAACCAAACAACAGAATTTTTTAAAAAAAAATGTCAAAGAACTCAGCTGCCATATATATTTCATTGTTATGGTTCGACTCCAAGGTCTTCAGATTCTGAATAATCCAGTCGAAAACCTTCTTATGCAATCGGAATGATTTTTCCACTGCAATTTAATTCCTATCCATTGAACCAACTCACTCAACCTCGCTAACAAACATTTGAAAACGGGGGAACAAAATGACAAACCTGTGGAAATCCTCCAAAAAAAGTATGACGTGCATGTTACAAAAAGCACATATTAAGAATAGATGATAGATAAAACAAATATACAATATTTTGAAATTAAATATGGTTATTAATGTGATGACGACCGTTCCCTTCTCTTTTGTAATAAAAACGACACTAATGATTTATGAAGGTGACTATAGTTGAATGTATTAGCTTAATAATAGAGAGATACTTATCGGTAAGTCATAGACAACGTTCAATATAATCATTCAAAGTATCTATGATTAGAAGATAAAATAAAATTTTTAGAATATGTATCGAAGATAAAATTATTAAAATAATTTATTTTTGGAATTAGAGCAGATTGTGACTATTCTATTAGATCATTGATGAAAATACTATGTATATTTTCTAGGCTCCCACATTCTGAGAAAAATAAAAATTTCATACTTATTGTTTAAACTGGTTCATATACAGAATATATTGAAACCACACCAAAAAGATAAAATTGGTAAACTAAAAGTAATTATTATAAAGACTGCTTAGAAATAGGTCCAATATAACTAAATAGAAACAGTTTGAAATGATTCAACCATTAAAAGTTTTCTTTTAAAAATGTAATAAAAAAAAATTAGAGATAAAATTGTATGCCATACATAAATTTGGATATCTATATTGCTTTAACATAGCATTATGTACTTTATTTTTTAAAAAAAGAACTTATTGAATCCATTCATACAATGAAAAAATAGCCATATAAATAAAAGATATAAAGATATAGAGATAATTTTTAAAAAAAAAAATAAATTACTTGGTAAAAAAAATGTCAAAATCACTATTTTGTCGTAAACGATAAACTGTCAAAAAATACATCTAACATAGATATAGATATTTCATCATAAATATAGTATCATTGGATATGTAACATTATAATGTATGCTTAAGCGATATAGTGGCATACACGCTTCTCTTAATTACAGCATAACATGATTTTAAGTTTTGTACTTCCATTTTCAAATTAATCTTTGGTGATAACATGCAATCTAAAACAAATTAATTTATTTAATTTAAATATTATTTAATTTAAAAAATCTTTTCAAAACATCAAATCATATATATATATATATATATATATTTATTCAAGTAAGGTTGCAAATATATATTACCTTTCACCAACCTCCCTTGGCTAAGTGATTGAACACTTTGTATGCTCTGACTAACCTTTAAAAGAGGACATTCGGCATCATCTGCTGCAAGATTGTATTAATTACAGTAACATTTTAATAAGAAGTTTTGTAAAAAAAACTGTTACGACGGCATGCATACATACATATATACATAAACACATATATATATATTTAAAAAATAAAATAAAACGATATACACATATATGCATACATATAATATATGTATATAATATTATTAATTGTTAACTAAATGAGAGATATAGAATTGACTGAATTCAATATTGTACTTATCATTTGTTTTAATAATGATAATAAAATTTGTATGTTTATCATAGAAATATGGGTAAATAATATTATTTCCAAGCGAATTTGTGTAATCCTGTTAAATTATATACACACATATATATATACATGCATATTTATACATATAAATACATATACGTATATACACATACATATAGTATAGACAAATAAAATATATATATGTATATATATACATACATATATGTAACAAATACATACTTTGACCTTACAATTATTAATTAATATAAAAATAAATAGATACAAAAACAAACAAATAAAATCATATACATATATGTATATTAATAAATATATCTCATCCGTTTATTATTTTTTTTATATTTTTTATATAAATAAAAAACATATATGATGATATGGTTTATTATCATAAACAAATAAATAAATGAGATGTAGAATTCACTTAATTAAATAGTGTACTTATCATTTATTTTAATAATAACAATAATGAAATTTGTATATTTATCATACAAACGAAATAAAAACGAAATCCTGTAAATATGTTAAATTGTAAATGGTTATACGAATTGTTAAACATTTGGGTCCAACCCACTTGGGTTAGTTGAATTATGAAATTTGTTAAATTGTAAATTTGTATATTTATACATAAACACAAAACTTATAGAATACATACATGCATCATTTACGCATATACACGTACATACAAAAGTAAAAAAATAAAAAATGTATTGAGATATATGCATTTTTGTAACGTCCACGTACATACACGAATACATTCATATACAGGGAACATACATAGATATACAGATATACATATACGTTATACACACAAATACATCTATATATACACATATACACATTCATATAACTTGTAATTTTTATTCTTCGTTAATATTAAAAAAATCAAAATTTATAATTCACTATTTTCGGAAATACAAAACCAATTCAATAATAATCTACCCAAAAGCTGGGTTTTCTTGCAAACAAACAACCAAACAACAGAATTTTTTAAAAAAAAATGTCAAAGAACTCAGCTGCCATATATATTTCATTGTTATGGTTCGTCTCCAAGGTCTTCAGATTCTGAATAATCCAGTCGAAAACCTTCTTATGCAATCGGAATGATTTTTCCACTGCAATTTAATTCCTATCCATTGAACCAACTCACTCAACCTCGCTAACAAACATTTGAAAACGGGGGAACAAAATGACAAACATGTGGAAAACCTCCAAAAAAAGTATGACGTGCATGTTACAAAAATCACATATTAAGAATAGATGATAGATAAAACAAATATACAATATTTTGAAATTAAATATGGTTATTAATGTGATGACGACCGTTCCCTTCTCTTTTGTAATAAAAACGACACTAATGATTTATGAACGGTTACAAAATATTATAAGGACTTAGTAAAGAAAAAATACGTTATAAATTTTGTATAATGAAGAGGCGTATTGTTTACATGGACGTTAGTTGAAGAAATTAACCAATGAGGATAAAGGATTTTGCCACATGAATGATGATGTAGATGCCACATGTCCTCACCACAATCCTTGAACCAAACTTTTTATGTCCTCACCACAATCCTTGAACCAAACTTTTTATATATATAGATTCCCAATTTGACATCACACAAAAAAGACGAGCGTCTCCAATCGGTGCATTAATGGTAGGGGTGGCCAATTCGGGTTTCGGTTCGGGTTCGGTTCGGTTATATTCGGGTTCGGTTATTTCGGTTATAGAAAAACTATAACCATTCGGTTTTTATATAAACTTCGGTTCGGTTCGGTTCGGTTATTTTTTGGTTCGGGTTCGGTTCGGTTTTGGTAAAAAGTTCAATTTTTCAAAGAAAATTGTCGGTTATTCTCTCGGTTTTTTCGGTTATTTTTTATTCGGTTCGGTTCGGTTTCGGTTTCGATTTTTCGGGTTTAAGGAAATCATAACCGTTCGATTTTGATGTCGGGTTCGGTTCGGGTACGGTTATGTCTTATTCAGTTCGGTTCGGTTCGGTTATTCGGTTAATAACCGAAATGGCCACCCCTAATTAATGGTGATGGCAAAAGCCATTTAATATTTTCTTTCATCTCATCTCTGCCAATGCCATCGTCTTCTCTTCCGCCATTTAATACTCTCTCTCTCTCTATGGTCTACGTACAATGCAGCGTACCTAATTCATGTCAGGCCGTGAAATTCGGACTCGAAAGACGAACAAGTGGTAAATCTGAATGCAACCCATCCATCATCTCTTCCGCCTAATCATGATTTTGGTAAAACCTAATTTGCGCATCCGCAGCTCATGCCACTTGCAACAACATAACAAGGACAACGATGCGGATGCATTGGCTGGTGAAGATGATGGTGATGCTGTCAGATTAGGGATTGGTTTCGTTGGTTGTGGAGGTGATGGAGCTGCACAAACCGGAATCACTGATCTGATTTGCACTGTCGGAGCCATTCTATGAGGGTTTAAGCTAAGCCCTCCTGTGTGCATTCCACTGCTTCTGTAGAAAACCCCTGCAGTTGTTGCCTTGTCGGACAACGGCAAGAGCTTACTGTATCCGTTTCTCTGGGTTGATGAATCATTGGGTGCGGTTTCATGATGAGCCCTAGGCCAAGGAAACGACTTGATGTTCATTTCTGGCTTAGCATAGTGATGTTTCTCAGCATATTCTTGAGATTTGTCTTGTGATTTGCCTTTGGATTGTTGTTGAACGGTTATTGCCAAGGGTTTAATTGAAGAAAAATCCCTTGAGGAAGCGTTTGAGAGAATGTTGGAGGATTTTGGTGGTGGAATTAGAGAGATCAAACTGGTTTGGTGGTGTTTCTGTGAAGATGAAGCTTCATTGCTCAACAGATTGATCGATCTCAGTTTCTCACTCAGCAAAACAGTGTTTGTGTCTCTGTGACTTCCTGTTCCTGTGACTGTTCTTCTTCCCCTTGATTGGTGTGGCCCTCTTCTTTTCACATCTCTGGGTCTAAAACTTGAGAGAACCCTTGCAACTGCTTCATGTTCCTTTTCTTCACCTTCCTCTGCTACTAAAGAGTCCAAAGCTCGAACTGTGCAACATAAAGATAGGATTTGCATGGAATCAATTGGTAAAGCTGCAAACTTTGGTTTGAAATGAGGCAAATTTGCAAGTTTAGTTGAAAAAAGTTGGCACCTTTTCTCAAGGCGGACCAAGCTACAATGGCAGCATTCTTCTCAGCTTGCTTCTTAGTCTTCGCGGGTTCGCCTGAGAGACTCGTGCCAGCGAGCTCCACAGTGCAAGAGAAAGTTGGTGTGTGACCAGGACCTGACCTCACATTTGTGTACACAGGCAATTCAAGACCAGCCCTGTGGGCTTTTTCTTGAAGCAGATTCTTGTAAATACAAGTCTCGTCCTTACAAAAAAGTTAAATGTATGAAAGAATCAAGGGTTTGCTTCCAGTTACAGAAATGCAGACAGGAAACTGATTAAAAGGATCTCCAGTTTGCCTTCTATTAGATAAAATCAGGACCGGAAACTGATTAAAGGTGTGAACTGAAACAGAAGGTAGAAACTTGCTAGAACTCTAGCAGTTAGGGACTTTGAAGGGCCTCTGGAAGAAAGAGCATTAAGGGCAACTACTGCAGCTGCATGCTCAGCTTGTCTGAGAGTGGAGCAATAAGTGGGGCTTTCAAATATCTCGCCATTGAAGTTCACTGAAGCTTTGAATCTTGGAGCATGATCTGGGCCTTTTCTTATGCAGGTATATGATGGTAGGCTAAAGCAGCTCCTCTGTGCAAGCTCTTGCAGCTGATTCTTACACATTTTTGCTGCAACTCCAAAACAGATAGAGAGAGAGAGAGAAAGGTAGGACCAAACAGAGAGAGAAAGCTAAAACTCTATGGAAGTCTGAGGAGAGGATAAAAGGAAAGGAAATCACCACTTAAATTGGTGATTCAATGCTGGATTTTTCAATGTAGATGAAAAAGATTGGTTTAAAAGAACAGGGGAAGGAAATGATACATAAAAGAGAGTTTATGAGAGTTGTGGAGCTCTTCTCTTTCCCAAGAATAAAGAATAGACCTTCACATGGTGGTTTTTAACCCAAGAAAGGCTCCTCATAAAGAGTACCAGACTTCAGAGGAATGTTAACAGTGACATTTCAATTTAAATACAGTCTGAGAGCTACACACACACACATGTATATGCATACATACATACATAGCATATGTATATTTGGACTGTTACATACATGTATATAACTGCGTACAAGTAACTTTCAGGTCGATGAACTTGCTGACTCTGCTCATTGTCCTGTCTTTTGGGTTTGACTGGGCAGTTCTTAACTGTTTTAAACGCCTTTGTCCATTGAACTCTTTGATCAAATAATCCAGCACTCTATGAAAGGTCCTTCCTTTAGGTTAAAGATCGTATCTTTATGAGATTAATTTTATATTCTGAGGCTTTTAATGGTCTTCTGGCGAAATCAAACCCTAAACGAATGCTTTTGGTGTGGTGATTAACTGCGCATTTATTGCAGAGCCGTGCTTCAACGAACACTAGGCTGTGTCTTGTCTGCTCCACAGGTGTCTTTTAGCTTACTGATTTTCCCTTATTTAGTGATAATTAGTTCCGTGAATCCATTGCTAAAAGCCTAAAACACAAAGATTTTGATCATAACACAGAGATTTCTGATTAACTGTATGGACATAAGGAGCAAAACAACTAGAACCCTAACTGTCTTTTGCCACATCCAAAGCCAAACCTGAAGAAAAGAAGGAAAAAGAAGAAGCTTCACTCGTACAAACAACACACTATGACCATTGCTTCCCTTTAGAACACAATAAGCCAAACCCAACACAGCATCACCACTGAAACAGGCCTTCAAATTTTTCTAAACTGTATTCACCAGACTTGATTCTGTCTTTCAACAGCATCACATCAGACTACATGGGCCGGTTCTCGACCATTAAGCCACTGCCACTGCTGCTGCCTCCAACTTGATTTTGTTCCCCTAACCTGGCTGCTAAGGCCATAACTTCTGGTGACATGTCCCAGCTTCCGCTCTTCCTTCCCCAGCTTGATCGCCTTGGGTGCATACCCATCCTGTCACCTGGTCCATCCACTGTGGTCCTAATGTCTGGAGATAACTCACCTAATTCGCCATCTTTAACATGTAACCTTTCGTTGTTACCGAGTTTCCCATCATCATGATCACCCATGGCTGGACCCATGTCTGCCCAAACCGCTTTTCTGCCCATTTCAATGTCATCATTGGCCTTTCCCATGTTTGGACTCATAAAACCGCCAGCCACAGGTCTGGAAGGAAGCGGAGGTTCTCGTGGCACCTTACTCCTGAAATCGTTCTTCGAAGACGGGATAGGGGAACAGAAGATCTCTTTGAAGTTTTCAACCACTCCTTTGTTATGCGGGTTGGTACGTCGGTCATATCTGTATCTGAAGTTCTCATATGTAGTCTGCAACAAAAGGAATATCACTAACAATGTGTTTGAGGAACGGAGTTTAGAATAAGGAGATGGGGAATGGTATCTAACCTGGTTTGTGCTGATGAGATACAAATGAAAGGCTGTTAATCCCCCGACAAACCACATTGAAATGAACGTGTAGATTATCAGAACAATTGATGCAGGGGTTTTGAGCATCGCCTTCCAAATGCTTATATGTTCTGATTCCATGATCTTCCTGATGTAGACCCAGCAGAAGGCAAACACATATATACAGAGTAGGGTCGTTGAGAAGACAAACATGAAAAAGAATCGGTAGTTCCTCTGCAACCACCAAAACACGAGACGGTCAGATAAATTGAGACGGACCAAGTAGAATACTTGAGACAACTTAAATGGCAATACCACAATCATAATTCTCTCAATGTGTAACATCAAGTTGGAATATTTAAAAAAGAATTAGCTAACTGAAAGACAATAGAACTGAGCTTATCGACAGGGAACAGGATTATTGACCTACAAGGCAAATTTGTACAACGCAGGTATGATGCCAATGAACTGGATGCCTTTACCGGCTTGACATTGTACACAAGGACAACAAAACTCGGGTGAAACTTAGCAAGAAATATCGATCAACAGATAATCATAAGCAATAATGTATCCAGAATGTCCGTTGGGAACATTACATCAGAAATAAGACGACTGCAGAAAAGAGAACTTAGCTTCTTGAAAGGATAACATGGGTTTCATGACCTATTGTGATTATTGGAGAGGGGTGATGGAACAAATACTAAAATGTGAACTAAGAATTGAAAAGCTAATATCATTTTATAGATAATTCAAGATTGCTTTAGATGGATTAGACGTACCAACCCAATACATTGACCGACCCAAGGGCAGTGATGATCAAACCTCTCCACACAGTTGTTGCAAATTGAGCAGTGTGAGCAACGAGGAGGCCTGTAAAGCATGCAAGTATCGCAGTACTTGACCTTAAATGTGAATCCATTAACCTGCACTTCCTTCATGCGGGGCAGTCGCAACTGAGGAGTCTGGCCAGCCACTGTGTCAGTGTTGCCATCAAGGCCTTCAGGCTCTGGAGGATGGGCATTTCGTGGGATAATCCCGGGATCTCTTCCGGATGTGAACAGCAGAAGAATCAAATCCTGACAGGAGAAAACAAATTAATAGGTTGCAACCACAGAAACAGTGTAAACGATAAAGAAACATAACGCTTTATACAAAGCAAATGCCACACACACTTACGTAAATGGTAAACACAACAGCAACAACTACTATTGACACTCCCCAGCTATCTGAGAAGTCGTCCATCAGCTTCCAAGCGACAAAGATGCAGAAAATTGTAACAGGGGCAGCAATGAGAAGTATGGTCAGCCCCAATGATCTTACGTCTGGTCCGAATATAAACCTTCCCTGGAGAAAGAATATCTGCAGAAAAGGGAAAAAGTAAACTTTACCAAAAATTTCATGGATAAAACATGACAAGAAACAATGTTTAGCACTGTGGAAACCTGAGGATAGGCCTTGACCAGCCAATAATTCAGTTCACTACTCACAGTCGTATTTGTTCCGAGTAAGAACTCATGTCTCAGTTCACTACTCACTGTCATATTTGTTCCGAGAACGAACTCATGTTCCGAGAAAGAACTCAGGCCTTGACCAGCCAAATTACTCGACATAAGCAGCTTAGCTAAACAGGTCCATAGCTTTGGTGAAATTAAAAATCCCAAGTAACGCAAGTTCGGATATCAGTTCACATCTAGCAGGTTAATGGGTAAATTTGTACATTAACCTCATCAACGGGAATACATCCAAAGTAACTTATCCACTCCTCGAGCAAATCCTACTCTTCTCTCATCAATTTAAAAAGGGTATGAATTCAGATAAGCAAAGGATTTTCAGATAATTAAAGCTCTCGGTCTAGCTGAAACTCATTCATAGCATATGCATCTGAAAGCTTATGAGCTTATTAACACCAAGTGCGCCTTCAGTAATGACAACAAAGCCTCGGCTTTCCGACAAGTGTTCTCAAAATCCCCAAAGAATTAAGCTTTCCTGAACTTGAACATGACCCAAGTTCCGATTTGAGTTAAGATTGAATTGGAAGAGAGCTTAAATGAGACATTAAAGGAGAAAACCGATACTAGGAACATGAAAGACAATCAGACTTAGAGTTCAAAAGCAAGAGACTAAGATGCAAAGAACCACAAAACTCAGAGAACGATACGCCCAAAAAACTCAGAAAAGGAGACAAAAAAACTCACATTGCTTCCTTTCCATGTTTGGTATACCCGCAAATCACCGTTGGATCCCAGATCGGATCGCTGTGGTGGAGGAACCACATACATCTCTCGCCTCTCTCTCTCTCTCTCTCACTTCACCACCAAAGCTGAGCAACAAAATCGCTCCCGCAGAAGTACGCAAACGGAAATAAAACGAAAAGGGCAAGAAGATAAAGAGGAGAGAGAGCTAGTCTCCGGCGATGGGATTCGGATTCCGGCGAGTTCGCCGAGAAGGCACGAGTAAGCCAGCGAAAAAGAAGGGATTTTTCCCCTTTCTCTTCCAATTTCAATGGTGGGTTCCCCCCACTTTTTTTCTCCGATGGAGAGTATTAAAAAAAAATCTATTGCTGCTGTCAGTCACCGTCGTTTTAGTATAAAACACATTGACAAAGAGTCAAAAAGATCAGCTGACGTGGCCATATATTATTGGATGGTCGCCGAGATAAGACCGTAACCACTGGTTGGCCTGTCCCTAAGCAGCTCGTAATTTTTTTACATGAAAATTTGGAATCTATATTAAATAATTAGCATTAATTTTTATAAAACAATCAAAATGTACCAATCATTACAAATTCATCGAATATATATATATATATGTCAAAACTATTTAAATACGATTTTATCGTTTTTATTCTAAATATATACAAATTTATATTATATTTTGTATTTTGTTATTCACCAAAAAAATATATTATATTTTGTTTAACTATGTTGACATAAAATCTGATTAGACAAAAAAACTTTATATATATTCAGAATAAAAAATGGAGGTTGTGCATATTTTATAAATAGCAAATTCGTATATGATTTAGACGAATTTAATATGAACGTATAAATTAGATGCATTTATAAGCAATCATAAATAACTGTGGTTCCACAAAATTTATTTCTATAGACAGTATTCCAAAATAAAATATTTATCATTGGAAGTAACAAAACAATTAGAATATTTTATAGATTATGGCGTTTAAACGGGACTGGTTGGATAATTACAATTTACGAGTGTGATTGTTGTTAATATTATATCATTAGCTTTTTCTTTTTTGCGTTAAACCCATGGGGCCTTTTGTTCGATTTGATCAATTAATATCTTAGAAAATAGGAAATAATTATAAATTTTAAAAAGCGGAAATAAAATGATGACAGACAACAGATGGGTGTATGTATAGAGCCAAGGGGTGTGAATGATGGGATCACCTGAAAAAAAAAAACAATACAAAATCCGGACATCGGAATCTGTGTGAATGAATTTCACCATTTTCTCTATTCATAACAAAAACAGGCTCTCAAGTGTTTTCTGGTCTGGTCCCTTCAAAGGGACATTGCTTCAGACAAGGTGAGAGAGAGATCAGACTCTGACAATGAAGCCATTGGGAGACTGGAGAGTTGCCCCTCTTCTTTTTTTTTTTTTGCTGGTTTATGTCTCTTCTTCATTATTGCAGCCATTACACATCTGTCAGAATCATTCATGATAAGGGTTCATCGCCAATCGGTTTTGTATCTTCTGATGAGGACAAAGAAAGTGGGTTGAAATGAATCTGCCACTGTAAAATGTCGTCAAAGATGCACGAGAAGGGTTTTACGGAATCTGTCCATTGACGAAGCAATCTACTCTGAATCTGTGAAGATGATGACTTTACTACTTTCCACTGATAAAGTCGGTCTGGTCTTAAGAACCCATGAACACTGCGGTTTTCCGACCAAAAGATTCGAAATTTAGCACATTTTCGACCGAAGCAATACAAGAGAAAAAGGCAAAAGAAGACGAAAACTCGGGAAGAAAGATTCTTCGTAGGCGTGAAGGGTAACGTAATCCACAAGAAAAGGTCACGCCTTTACATGTCTTTTGATATTTCTTGCCCATTTCACCTCTAGCACCAATAACTTCCTCCCCAAGTTACAAAAAAAACAAACAGTATAGACATCCTTTTGAGATTTATGAATCTACGATAATTCCAACTGTTTGAGATTGTAAAGATCCTTAAATGACCGTCACAGTATTTACGTACTCTTTCTTGGCGCGACAAAAGGCTCGGATCCTGCCATCGTCGCTAGTACCAAAACCCGAAAGCTTGACCCCGAAGGCAGCCATTCGACGGACGTCGCGGGGAATGGGAGATTGCCAGAGACTGTCCCACCATCCGGGAGCCATAAGCGGCGTGAACGCGCACTGGTCTGGTTGCTTCGGACAGCTTAACGGCCCGGCGAAACGGTTCCACACGTGTCCCCAACCCACCTGGTTCTTCAGACCGTTCGTTAGCAGGTTTCTCTGGAAACAGCTCAGGAACACAAAGCTCGAGCTGCTCGAGTTGCTCCAACCATCCTCCTCCTCCTCTGCGGATAAAGTTGAATTCGGTAAAAAGTAGAGAGATGGTCGATGAAGAAGAGGAACCGAGTCTCTTACTGACGCTTTTTGCGGCGGCGAGGGCAGCAACCAACTGAGCGTAAGTAGTGCCGACACGCCTCTGAGCCACGGAGATAACAGCGTGTTTTGCACGGGCGGCTAGAAAGAAATCCACAAATGCAACCCATCTCGGAGCCGGTCCCCAGTCCTTTTTCCTGAAACCAACCATCGGTAACCCCCGGGCGCCGCCTCGGGAGATATCCCCTTGGAAAAGCTTGTAGTCGAAATGTATAACCTGACCACAAATATCTAACTAGGATTTGACAAAAAATGGAGAATTTGTCGGGGAATTTAACGAAAAATGGATTGTTTCTCAAGATTCAACGATCCAAACGAGCATGAGTAGAGCTAAACACCTTCGACGAGACCAAGGACAACGCAAGAAGGTACCTTAGCAAACGATCGTATATTGGGATCAATGGCATTCACAACTGATGGAGTATCTGATACTATAGCCACTCTAGGGTTTGACACACCCGAACGGCGGATTGCTTTGCCAAGGCATCTCATCGCTGCCCTTAAAGCTCTAACCGGTCTGGAAGAAAAACCTCGGAAAAGAAAAAGATTTAGTCATCCGATTGAAAAAAGATGGGCCATTGATGCGTTCAAAGAATGTCGGAACCTGTTATTAAGCATTCTCATGTGCAATGAAACATCAGGATCCCCGGTTTCTCGTAGAACCCAATTCACTGCTTCATTAACATCTTCCGTCGGAGATATGAGTGCCATCATCAGCTCACCAAACACATTAGCCCTCGTTTCAAGTTTTCCCGATTCTCCGAATAGCTCAAAGGCTGCAACCCTCATCTCTTTATGCACATTCTTCAGGAAAAACTGAGCCGCCACTGCGTCGGTTGTACCTTGAAACCTGAAATATCGGGAAAAAACACACACCAATGAATCAGAGTAATGGAAAAAAACAGAACTTTGTCTTGTCTTTCTCACTCAGTCACTGACCATATAACAGGTTGCTTCCACTTCATCCAGTTGCTGCATAAGACGTTACTCTTGGACGGCTTCTCGAAATCATCCATTCTCACGACAAGCCGCCTTCCGTATTTCTTCAGACAGCCTTTTTGTCTCCAGAGATGCTTCACTTCACTCATGGTAAAGGTGGCATTGGAGTAAGCAATGTAATCACCAAACGGATACTTTCCCCTGAGAAATTCACAGACAGGACATCAGGAGGAGAAACTAGAAACATAACAGAAAGACAAGAAAAAGGATAGAGAAAGAACCAATATGCCTGGTCTGGCCAATGATCAAGGATCGGTTCAACATTATGCTCAATGCCGCATAAGTTAAGATCTTGTACATCTCATTCCCAAAACCGGCTTCGGCTGTTTTCCCCAGAACGAATCCATGCCAGCAAAACTTCTTTGGAGGGAGCTCTCGAATGGCCAAAGCACCTGAAACCCCCCATGAACAATAAGCTTGTCAATTCGTAATTCAACAAAAAGTTTGTGAAACTTTCTTAATTCAGACTTAATCCCGCGTTTAAACTGCTGAATCAATTTAGATGAGATCAATGTTTGATGTCACCGGAAGCATTCTTCTTGCAGATTTATCAACCTCGAATCAACAATTACCAGTAAGTACATTTACGCTGAAGATCATTTTCTGAATACAGAAACACCACGAATCATGAGGATAACAGTAAAAACAACAAATGTAACCACAATTTAGAGCAAGAACTGTCTCACCGTTTGCATGAAAATGGCGTCGGGCAATTTGTCGCACTCGAAGGCTCTGTTCCGCGAAACCCCCTTCGAAATCGCTTCCCATCTCCTCTACCGTGGCGCACGACCTTGCCCCGCCTCTCACGGTGACGCGCCGTTCCTGAACCTTCTCACCGACGGCGGCGGAGTCCGAAACGACGTCGCCTCCGCCGGCGACGTCGATGACCGACGACTCAGGATCAACCGGATGGAGCGTGAGCAGTACCAAGCCGAGACCGGTGAAGATCACCGACGCGAATAGAATCATGCGTACGGATAATCTCCGCCGTCTGGGTCCGCCGCGCTTCATCACTCTTCCTCCGTCATCTCGATCACCAACCACGAATGTATCGGATTACGTTGGCTATGGCTACACGCATG